CGCATGTTTATCCACTGACAAAAACATAGTTTCACGACAATAACCTATCCATAGAAACCCCATCTATATGGAACGAAGTTCTTGTTCACTTAAATGATTATGAAGAAAAAGGTCAACGTAAAGAGAGCTGTCAACGTGACAAATTAGAAGTTGACAAAAGCGAGTGTTTGAGTCACATTTAAATTTGTTACGCTCCACCTGGGGACGGCTTCCCTAGCTTGAACGAACACGTACAGCGAAAACTGCCCTTTATTAATTTTTTTTTATCATTGTGTAGATTTTTTCCACACTTAAACAACACCCAAAGGAAACTATCTTTACTGCATTACCTATTACAGAAAAGTATGGTCGAGATCGGGCTAGATGTTAATTTACATTCTGAAAGTGCTTAAGAAATAGAAAACATATACTGTATTGCTATCGAGTTTAAGTATAAATCTACCAGCGTTCTATCACGATTGGCGTTCTCTGATTGGCTATACGCTACTCACTATTTATTCTGTGATAGATAGTGAGTAGCGTAGCAGTGTGCGCTTGTTAACGAAATGACGAAGTGTCCGTGAAGAGGATTTAGATAAAGTTTTGAACGACTACTAGATTTATACTAAAACAATTAGATTATTCGCTCTCGATTTCTATGCGTGATAGNGAGCTCATAATCTAGTTGTTGCTAGCAGCGTGCTGTTGATAACAACAAACTGGTGGCGCCTTCTTTGCGTTTTCAAACTGTCTGTGAAGTGGATTTAGATAAAGTTTTGAACGACTAATAGATTTATACTAAAACAATTAAATTACCATTTCACGATTCTGTCACGCGATAGAAATCCAGACCTCATAATCTAATTGTTAAATAGAGGCAAGATGACTCCGAAACGTTGTGGTTTCCTTTAGCTTATTTTTGAAATCAATTGCATTTCAAAACATTTCCTTGCTATAAACCACACGTCACCACACTTCAATTCCTTACTACTAATCTCCAGGTGTTTTGGAAGAGGAATACGTTAAAGATGCTCTCAAAGATGAGTACTATTCTGACATAACAGACGAAATGAGGAACCAGTGGAAGAAGGATCATAATGGTACAACCGTAAACGAATCTTTGAGTGACTTTCTGGTGGAATACATGGGAAAGCCGATGAAACAACTGCTAAGGTAAATCAGATTCATTTAAAC